CCATATTTATTTGTATCTCTGGACCCCTTGGCCCATTCATCTGAAGAAGTGGATTGTGCCCATGAAAGCTCATGATACTATCTACATTTTTTGTTCGTCTAAGATGCTGTTGGGCCGTTCTTTGTTTTTTAAATTTTTTTCAGTTACAGACTAACATGGCTACCCCTCTGAGATTTAGGAGCAAAAACATTGCGTCTACATGCCACTTGTATCAGCCAGAATTTATATAACCTTCTACTAACTCTGTAATCTTCTGCTGCCTCTTCCTTAATTTCCTGGAATATTAAAAATGAAACTTAACCTCCAAGAGATGCTTTGTTAATGCAAAATTCTTTGTCCTGAGAGCCTGGACAGCCTCAGGCGGACCAACATCAAGAGCCAAATTAAAAAAAAACACCATGAGACTGGCTTAAAGTAATGAGATTAAAGAGAAATAAACAAATAATTCATTTTGGGTCTTTTTATGTGTCATTGCTTTCTGAGCCTTGAGGACTCACTCAGGTCATGTTTTTGGCCTTTTCTATGCAAATTTGAGGACTTGAAACACTTTTTACGTGAAAGCCTATGTTGATACAGCTGTTCAAGCAGAGCTGACAGATGCAGCCAACACGCACTGAAGGAGTTTTTCTGTTAGCATAACCACACTTCCTCTCCAAATAAAGCCCTCTTAGACTCACAGTTTGAGCAGTCATGCCTACCAGTCAGAGACCAGGGTTCAGGAAGGGTCAGAAGCCCAAGAACAAGCCAGAGTAACTCCAGATAATCTGAACACACTAGGTCAGAAGTAGCCACGATGGAAGTCAGTAGCCACCATCCCATGGCACAGCGAGTGATGGGTGCTGCAGGTCAGGGAAGACAAATTGGAATCAAATTTTGAGATCATCTAAAAACTTCCATTGAATTCAGTGGGCTCTGACCTGCCCGTCTCCTGAGCTACCTGATTCCTGCCAAGAATGAGGACTTGCAGTGGTACTTGACACATCTCTGGCCAGCTTATGAGGGCAGTTGAGCCACAGCAATGCTACCTGACTGGCCAAGGAAGTTAGTAAACCTGCTCTTAAGCCCAAACTCGGCAGCTGATCTCTGGCTATGAACACACATGCTCGCAGCTGTGATCTCTCCTGGACCGGCCTTGCTCTGGCCCTGATCCTGCCCCATTCCTAGCCTGGATTCTGCCCTACCCAATTCATTCCAGACCTGCTTCCCTACTGGTTTTTTTACTCTGACCCTTGGCTTTGATTGCTGACTCTCGTGCTGACTCCTTGACTTTGATTACCAGCTTCCTGACTCCGGCTCCTGTCCCAGCCACTAGGCCTGACTGCTCATGTCCCAGTTTGTGACAGTCCCAGACAGACAGTGGGAACAGAAGTTTTGTAAGGCTTTTCCTCATATCTCCATCTCCCCCATGGATACTAGTGTTATAGAATCATAGAACTGTAAAGAATCTTGAGAGTCCAGTCAAGTCTAGTCCCCTGGACTCATGGCAGGACTAAGCATCATCTAGATCATCCCTGATAGTTGCTTGTCTAACCTGCTCTTTAAAATCTCCAATGATGGAGATTCTACAACCTCTTTAGGCTATTTATTTCCAGGCTTAACCACCCTGACAGGAAGTCTTTCCTAATGTCCAACCTAAGACCATTGCTTATTGTTCTATCATCAGAGATTAAGGAGAATATTTTTCTCCCTTCTCCTTTTAACAACTTTTTAGGTACTTGAAAGCTGTTATTTCCCCCCCTTAGTCTTCTCTTTTTCCATACTAAACAAACCCAGTTCTTTCAATCTTCCCTCATAGGCCATGTTTTCTATATTTTTAATATTTTTTGTTGCTCTTTTCTGAACCGTCTCCAATTTGTCCACATCTTTCCTGAAATGTGGCATCCAGAACTGGATACCATACTCCTGTTGAGGCCTAATCGATTCACAGTAGAATGGAAGAACTACCTCTTGTATCTTGCTTACAGCACTCCTGTTAATACATCCTAGAATGTCTGATTTTTTTGCAATAGTGTTGACTCATATTTAGCTTGTGGTCCAATATGACCCCTAGATCCCTTTCCATGGTACAACTTCTTTGTATGTGTGTGACTGATTGTTCCTTCCTAAATGGAGTACTTTGCTTTTGTCCTTATTAAATTTCATCCTATGTACCTCAGTCCGTTTCTCCAGTTTGTCCAGACCATTTTGAATTATAACCCTATCCTCCAAAGCAGTTGTAACCTCACCCAGATTGGTATCATCCATAAACCTTATGAGCATACTCTCTATGCCATTCTCTAAATCAATCAGGGCCATAGCAAGGGTGGGACAAGTAGGGTGCTCGCCCCAGAGCATATCATAATCAAGGGTGCAAAGATGCAATAAGTAAATAATATGCTGCAAAAGTAAAGCACACAACATGTGCTAACCTAAAGAGAGGAGGTGTATAATTAATATTTTGCCCTGGGCACAAAAATACCTAGTTATGGCGCTGAAATCATTGATGAAGATATTGAATAGAACCAATCCTAGAACTGATCCCTGCAGAGCCCCACCTATTCTGTCTTTCCAGCATGACTGAGAACCATTGATAACTACTATCTGGGAATGGTTATCCAACCAGTTATGTACCCATCTTATAGTAGCTCCCGCTAGGTTATATTTCTCTAGTTTGTTAATGAGAAGGTCATGTGAGACTGTATCAAATGCCTTCCTAAAATCTAGATATACCACATCTACCACTTCTTCCTTATATACAAGTCTTGTTACCCTATAAAAGCTATCAGCTTGATTTGACATGATTTGTTCTTGACAAATCCATGCTATTACTAATCACATTATTGTCTAGATATTTGCAAATTGATTTCCTTAATTATTTGTTCCATTATATTTCCTGATACAGAAGTTAAGCTAACTATTCTGTAAATCCCTGGGTTGTCCCCTTATTTCCCTTTTTATAGATGGGCCCTTTATGTGCCATTTTCCAGTCTTCTGGAATCTCTCCCATCTCTCAGGATTTTTCAAAGTTAATATCAGATATCTCCTCAGTCAGCTCCTTGAATATTCTAGAATGCATTTCATCAGGCCCTGGTGACTTGAAAACATCTAATATGTCTAAATAATTTTAATATGATCTTACCCTATTTTAGCTTCTGAACCTACCCCATTTTCACTGACATTTATTATGTTAATCGTCCAATCACCACCACCTTTCTTGGTGAAAACCAAAACAAAGAAGTCATTAAGCTCCTCTGCCATTGCCACATTATGATTCTGTTAAGCATGCAGAATGATTCCTGGTTCCATTGAAGTCAATGAGAGTTTGTCATTGACTTCAAGAGGGCCAGAATTTCACCCGTGTTGTTGGGAATATGTAATATCCAAACTTTGAATTTAATCGGTCAATAATACTGATAGACACAGTAAAACAGAAAAATCTGTTTGAATTTATATGTTCCTATAAGCATCTGATTTCAACATCTGGCAGGAATACCCTGTATATAAGGAAAATAAGTGGGCAAACAATACAAGTGGACACTATAAGAAGGAAAATCTGGATTAAAGAGATGTTAATTATACTATGCCATTTTCAGTGAAAATCATCAGAAATGTTCATTTAAGAGGCAAATAGTCTAGGCTGAGCAATCAGATATGCAAATGGCTAACAGCACAATGTAATATTTTGGAAGAAAAAGCAAATTGTCTTGGCATCAAACATTCTGCTGCTGTTTCCTCCCTAAATAAAATGCAAGAATCGCTAAAAAATCTTTTTCATCAGAGAAAAGTGCACTCAGTACAGAATATAAATTGAAATGTTTATTAATATTTCCCCTTATTTATCTATTTCATAACCTTGCCATTTTTCCATCCATCAGTTGATATTAGCCAATAATATTCAAAGCACCTAAAGGTAAAGACCAGCTCTCAGCATATGTACCATTTATTCTGTCATGTCCGGGCTTATATGTAATGAAAGTGACCCCTTTGCGGAGAGAAGAATTGTAACCCTAAAAGACTTTGGTTATTTATTATGAACTTGTACAGGTAAATTTTTAAAGTTTATGGTCCTTAATATAATGTTGGTCCTAAACCATTTTGTCTCCTCTATCAGTTGGATGTAGCATCAGCTTTGACCTATTCTGTTGGATCCCAATCCAAAAAAGAACCAGAGAGAAGAACTCTCTGTAATTGATATCTGCTGACTTTACCGAAAAGATTATTTTTGCTCCTCTTAGTCCTTGCAGAGTTGACTTCCAGACTACGATTTCTTGAGAACATTTTGGAACTTTCATAGTTCCAGGACTAAGATGTTCTTCGATCTGAAAATTAAGATGCTGTGCTACTGAGAGGGAATACAACTGGAAATCAATACAGTCCTTTTTCTAACTACAACCAGCGTATAAACAGCATAAAATGTAACATGGGAAAGTGAAAGGCTGAATAGAGCAGTAATAAGCCAAATGCAATGTACATTTACTCTGCTAAAGCTAGATTAATACCATTGAACTCGTTATTCCACATTCACACTGAGAGCAGAATTTAGCCCAATTTATACATTGCCATTCATAAAAAAAAATCTCAGTGATCTCCAAAAATATATTTAAAATAAAATACAGTTAAATAAACAGTTTGAGTTTTGGTCTCAAAATGTGAATTCCGAATCTAGATCAGAAAACAAAAAAATCAAGATTTTCAAAACTAGGTACCAAAAGTTATATAGGAACTTAAATAAGTTGCCCGATTTTCAGAAGCACAGAGTACCTAGCTGCTTCCATTAACTTTACTAGGAGCTCATGAGAGCTCAACACTTTAAAAAAAATTAGATAACTTGTCCAGGTGCCTAAATATGGAGTTATAAACCTAAATTCAGTCATCCAGTTTTAAAAATCATGGCTAAAAATTCTGAAGAGATCAGAACAGAGAGAAATTGAATCTTGATAGCACAATCAGGTAAATAAATGTTCAAAAGTCTAAAAGAATGGGAAGCAATGAAGAAAGAAATTGGAGAAAGACATTCATACCCCAATCAGTGTTCACTGCTTTATTCAGTACTCCTGGCTCCGCAGACAGTTGTCCTTGCTTCTCCGCACCCCGTTCCTCCATATATTCTTTAGCCTCAGACATTAACCTATGGATGACTGGTTGGATGACAAATGGTGCCTATGTTAGTTTCACACACGCACACATATTTTCTGCCCATTGATTGATGATAGATCCAAGGTACATTTTTCTTCAACTGGCTTGTTTTTAAAAATCAATGGTAATTCTAGAATTGTAAACAATCATCCAGACAAAGGCTATACCCACCAGCTTGGGTGTTGGAACTTTGCATGGTTGCGCATTGCACTGCCTTTCTATTGGTGATAATAGCTCTTGCTTTTTTTAAAGTATTGTCCCAGGTATACACAGTGCAATCTAACCACAGCCTTATATTTGAGAAGGAGGCCAGACCTGCACTGACCCAACTGGGCCATGAGGAGACTTACAGAGAGGCATGATTACACCACCCTTCAACTTTAAAGATAACAGCTCACTGCTTTCTGTGCAGCCAGCAAGCTCAGCTGCCTGGTATACAGATGAGAGTCAGGACTCTAAATCCTCTTTGTCTCCATCTTCCTCAAAACATAACTATTCCCTGGGAGTGCATTAGGGAACAGTCTGAGTGCAGGGGCAGTAGTTTTGCCCAGACACAAATAGGATGGTAGGGTCAGGATGTTCCCTGTAACCACAGCACCCAAAAGCATTCTTTGTCATGACTAAGCAGATGCCAGCACATAGGAACAGAATTACTTATTGACTGATAGGACCAATACATCTTCCTTACAGTGTCTTTGCTTCAGTTTTGCACAGTGTGTGGGTTTTGCAAATTGAGGTGGGTTCTGATTTTCACATGCACAGAAACTGAACACAAAGCTGATAAGCAAAGCCAAAGGAGAATGGATGTGGAAACAGGCCAAGACTCTGCCATTACATTCAAAAGAAAAAAAGCCTGTGTTTTGTTGGAATAATCAAATGCTCCGTTGGATGCCAAGAAAAAAAAAAGAGGGCCAAGAGCAAACAAACTTTACTACCTTAGTCCTTCTGTCAGTCCATCTGTCTCCTCCTTCCACTCAGCTTCTCCATCTCACTCTAATATGCTCTGGGAAAAAAAAGGGTTATTGTTTTATTTGCAAAAAGTGAATGTTTCCCCCATATTTAGAGGTGTGCATTTCCAAGCATATTTATATGTGTTTCCATAGGCACCAAGAGGAGAATATTCTATGGAGCATTCAGAACACAAACGTTTAGGAAAGAGGGTTTATAAATGGAGCTTGCACAGCAAGTTTCCAAACATTGGTGCAATATCAAAAGTATACTGTGTATACTATCTGTAGCCATGAACCCCAAAATTGTATGAAAACTTGCAAGCCAAATGCAAATCCTCATTTACACAAGTATCCTCTTTCTTCTGTTGTCCTTACATACACCCATACCTCTGTAAACTCCACTCCAATTCATCTGATGAAGTGGGGTTTACCTATGAAAGCTTATTCCCTAATAAAACTGCTGGGGGTACATCTACACAGCAGTGCTATTTCAAAATAACAGACATTATTCTGAGGTAACATAGTACACTGCCAGCCTTTATTTTGAAATAACGTGGAGCTGGAGGACTTCTTACTCCAACTCCTGTAACCCTCCTTCTATGAGGAGTAAGGGACATCAAAGGCAAAGTGTTCTTCCTTTGACTTCCTGCTGTGTAGATAGCTTAACTCGGCTTTTGGTGCTATTTCAAATTCAGCTACGCAAATGACATAGCTCAACTTGCGTAGCTTAATTCGACTTTAGCTCTGCTGTGTAGACATACCCTAAAGTGCTACAGGACTCTTCATTGTTCTTGCATTTTGTAAGAATGAGCAGAAAATATGATGCCTGTAGTAAGATGAAGGCCTAAAACATAAGCCAATGCAGCATAGGCCTGGTCTGAGGCCTAGCTAACAATGGACAAAACATGGCTAACAAAGCAAAGCTAAGCTGGGAGCAAGAGGCAGGCCCCAGCTCACAGAACTTAGCACAAACAGGGCTGAGAGTGCAAAACACTAACTGGTAATAGGCCCAGTTGCAGAACAATAATTGGTGCTGGTCATAAGTGGAAAGCACATGGTATCACTAGCGCCTTAAAAAAACCCTTGGTACCCACTCCTCACAGATACAGATACAGGTTCAGGAAAGGGTCTAAAATGACAGCATGATGGGTAGAGAAGATCTAATCAAACCACAAGGTACAGGGTGATGGGTGGTATCTAAGTAGCATCAGAGAGTGGTAACCTGACAATGTCAGAGGGTGGCAACCTGATACATCAGCAGTGAGGTATGACGATGTACCTGTATATAAAGTGGTGTCTTGGGGGGAGACAGTCTTTGGATGACTGTCAGTGGAAATTTCCCACGATTGAGAATTGATTGAGTCATTCCATTGCTACAGGGTACATATGCATAGTGGTTCAGTAGAGACTACTGACAACTATTACTGTACTTCGCTTAGCAATAAACCTGTCCTGGCACCTTCGATCCTTACCTGATTTGTGGTCTTTTGAGGCTCTCTCAGGGTCTGCTGTGGAGACTAAGTGCACAAGTCGACACGGCAAACGTCACTGAGCGCACACACAAGCAGCCTTCTGGTTATCATCATCAACGGAGCCAGAGACCTGTGAGGACACCTCGGCAGTAAATCCCAACTGCTCCCTGAATAACTACAATGCCAACCTACATCAGGTGACTGGTTTCAAAATAGCATTTCTGAATGGTGATAGAGAGAAGGCACCAGTCTTCTCCCTCTGATTCCCTTCTTTTATAACACACTGCACCATGAAAAACATAAGTTGAGAATAATGAATCAGATAACCTTTACAGTGTAATTCAGCTAAAATCCTCCTTGCTCCTCTTCACTTGATTATTAGTCAACCCCAGAGAATGTCAATGCTGTATCTGCAGAACTCATAAGCCTCATCATCAAGTGTCAAACATGAAGGGATGCAACAAATAAATGTTATGGAAGCCATAGCAGTATTGATCTTTGTTTTTAAAGAGTTTGACTCTGATAGTAGATCTGTTTGACAACTAAATAATCTAGATTTTTATTATCTCCTTAAACATCCCTCGGCTCTTCAGTTAAGTAATAAAAGAAAGAACCCAAGAAGGAAAACTTGCCACTTTAGTAAATGGCACTGTAATTAAAACTTAGCGAAGAATTTACACATCCTGCTTTGGAATTGATTGGCAATCAATATAGTTTCTTTATTTTTACTTGGGTTATTTATTATCCACTGACAGTTATTGACATGTCTTAAACAGGAAAAAATATCTTAAATTAAACAAAAGTACCTGTGCTGGGAGAATGTTATTAAAACTAACAGAAGCAATCAAGGAAGGAAATTAAACAGACCTTGCTAATGTTGTGCTCTTATTTATTTATATAAATTCTCACAGTTGCCTGTCTGACCTTCAGTGTGCCAATGTGTGTGCCAGGTCTGACTATCAATTCCCAATATAGTTTAATGGCAAAAGCAGAGCAACAAATATGTAGCTCAGTCCTTCAGAAGCAGACTTTAGCTAAAGCTGTATGGTCTCTGGGTTTGCTATTTCCTTTCTGCAAAGGTACTGACATTTGGCAATGACTCAGACACAGCTCCACAGCGTATGACCCTTGTTAATGTACAAGCAGTCTCTAAATCTGTCCACTGAATTCAGCTCATACTATACTGATACAGCCCCATAGTGCAGACATAACCCACAGCAACAAAAGGGTTTTTTCGATGGCGTAGGAACACCAGCTCCCCGAAGAACGGTCGCTACATCGATGGAAGTGTTCTTCCATTGCCAGAGCTGTATCTACACTGGGGACTGGAATAGCTATGTTATTTGGGGTGAGGTGATTTGTTTTTGTTTGTTTTGCACAGCTGACTATTGTAGCTATGTTGATGTAACTTTTAAGTGTAAACCAAACATCAGATTCAATTTACATGCAGCGAATGCCATGGTAGTATCATAGTAAGTATGGAAAACCAGGATATCTTGTGTGAGAGCTGTATCCACTAAGCCATTTTTGTCCACTTCCAAAACATATAAGACAATATCTTATAGGTGTCAGTGAAGCAGAAGCAATGCTTGAGTGGTAAATGTTGGTTTAGGCCTTGATTCAGAAAAGACAGAAGTGTGTATGGAAATCGCACTGAAGTAATGGTTTAATGGATACAGATCACTCTCCAAATAATGATGCTTTCCTGACTTAGGGCCATAATGAAGGAGCTTCCTTTTAGTCTTTTATCTGGTTTCTTATATATTAAATATTTATCTATTTGACCCAAAGGAGCTCTGTTCTGCCTCCAGAAGGCAGTGTTTTAAAAGGAATAAAGATATGAATAGGTATGAATTACATACCCAAGTGGTGCTATAACAATATTCAGAACATGCATAAATGTGACAACTATTATCACTTCTTTTTGCATCACATTTGTGAGAAAAGCAGCAGCAGCACCAGCACTGTGTTGACAAAGGCTATTTCTAAATGCTCCTGTAGAATAGCAAATTTTTATTCCACTATATTATTGCCACAGTTACATCAAGAATTCAGTTATGCCCCTGGATGAGTTGTCCATATGATGTTTAAGCCATCTCTTCTCCTAATCTCCAAGAAACCTTCATACCTACTCTGATGCAGTGTAGTGTGTCATTCATTGTTTGATGGATGCATCTTTCCCATCACTGCCAAAGCATCATAACACACAGGTCTCTTTGTGCCCAGGCCAGAAACTTTAATTACTTCTTCTGAGGCCAAACTATTTAAAAGAGGCATCTCCCTCCTTCCTCGTATGTGGTTTAATGAATCAGTGGATGAAAGAATGGCACGTCCCTCTTAGTGGTAAGATGTACACCTGGCAAGTCCTTGCTGAATGTGCAACTAGCAGCAAAAAAACAAAAAGTCATTGGCAGTGTAGATCTCCATAGAGATTACAAGCAATGAGCTGAATGTCACACCTTCCCCAAAGCTTGAAGTCTCCGGTGTAGCCAGTACAGCTGTGGCTGCTGTCTCTTGTCTAAATAGATAGCCCTATTAAAATGCCATTAGTGCTCCAGAAAGATTTGGTTTGAAGTTTAAGGCTCTTTTAGGTAGTAAGTATTTCTCTGTTCTAATTTTATCTTGACTCCTGTCGACTTACAGGAATGTAGCCATTATATGCCACTTCCATAGCAAGTACAAAAGGGCAGCTCATACTTGTCCATTAGCCAGCTGGAAGGACCAAGGCCAGTTCCTCCTCTGTGTAGCAGGACCACTCCTCGCAGACACCAAACACCAGCATTACCCCACTCCTGACATCCGTCAGAGCCACATGGGACAGCAGTCACTAGGGATGAGAGACTGCTGCTTCTCTCCCTCGCAACAGCTGTGATTTTTTCATTTTCCTTGTTATCAACACTAAATGGACAATGCATAAATTGAAATTATACAGGGGTTTCATTATTATTATTATTGAAGGATACTTTCAAACTGCAGTTTGATAGGAGAATGGAGACTACCATTCCTGTTGTCCGCTGGCCAACACCTCCTCACAAGCTGTTTCTTTTGGCATGCAACAGAAAAGACATCAAGCACCAAATTCATCCCTGGATTAACTCCACTAAGCCCAACACTGCTACAGTAGAAGTCTAAGAGTTTACAGTCAGTATTGGACATGTGGCAAACTGGAATGCTCTGATCTTCTTCCAAACAGTCTTTTTCAATTTTCTGCAAGACAGAAGCTCCTTTGACTGACCTGCAATAGACTAATCTCCGATGGCTCAGTCAAAACAATGAGGAGTCTGGGGGCACCTTGCAAATTAACAGATTTATTTGGGCATAAGCTTTCATGACTGAAACCCACTTCAAGAGATGAGTTGGATTGGAAATTACAGAGGCAGGGGTACATATGAGAACAACAAAAGAAGTTACTTGTCAAATGTGGGACCAGAGTTAATCACGTCAGGGTAGATGTGTCTCATTCACAGCATTTGATGTGGAAATGTGAATATCAAGAGAGGAGAAATTGTCTTTGTAGTGTGTTAACCAATTAAGATCCTTATTCAGTCCAAAGTTGATTGTATTGAATTTGCAAATGAACTCTGGTTCAGCTGTCTCCCTTTGTAATCGGGGTTTAAAGTTATTTTGTAGAAGGATGGGTACTTTTACATCCATTAGCAATGCTTGGAAGCACATAATACATTCAATTAATCCCATTTAAGGAGATTATGGAGAATTTTTTCCACATTCTTTCCAAACCAAGATTAAATGGGAACATGATATGAGAACTTGCATCTCAAGGTTTGAGTGCATTACAGCAATGCATGAGTGTGCTTACTTTATTCGGATTGGCCTCATAGGGATGCAGCTGCCTCAGCTGTAGCTCAAACTTCTCAGATCTGAAAAAATAAAAACCCAAGAAATGAGGCATTAGTAATGTCATACACAAATACATATGACAACCCATCTAGCCCACCTGAGTAAATCCCAACTCTCAATTTAATGCCCCATGAACTAATCTCTCCCCAATTCCCTTCTCCTTGATCTGTGGTGTGTTGCGCCCCTGCATGAGATAGGAAGTCTTATAGAGCTTCCTCAGAAGTCATAAAAACAGTTTCCGGACCACCTCCCAATAATGCAGCATTCATCTTGTATGTTCTAGGCTGCCAGGGACACTACCACACCACATTGGAGTTTGATGTCCTAGCAGTATGTCATCCCCAGCCCTTGCAACACATTCCCAGATCCTTGTGTGACACAGGGCCATTTACAGCATTCACTGGAACAATCCAAACCCTGTCAGCAGCTGCAAAATATACAGTATATGCCACGTCATACATGTTATGTGACTGTTCCAGGGATGGGCCAGGCAATTCTGCCAGGAGAGTGGGATAAGGTACAACTGTCACCCTTTATTGCTGCAGGTGCCTGAACTACAGAGGATATGAGGCTAGAAGGTGAAATTTAAACTGATCCTATTCAATAGCTGTAAAATAAAATGTACTTTTTAATTCAAACTGTAGCAACTCATGGTTTTAGCTGTGAAGGCCGCTTGGTCAATCCATGATGTATTGGCCAAGTTGGTATCAAGTGAAATCTACAAATCTGTTCATGGTGGAAAGGACTCAGGTGTGTAGATGTGGTACGGACTCTACTCCCAAAACCAGAGTCAGTGTGGGTGCTGTGTCGCAACTTAAAACACTATGACAACCACTGCAAACAACAACAACGCAATTGTCCACTATAGACAAAGCTTCAGATGAGACTTGGTTGTTATTTGACTGTATAATCCTTTACCTTTCTTCTGCAGATACAGCTCAGATACTGTTCAGCTAGGTATTTCACATAGATATCTCCTCTTCCCCAGGCCAGTCTACACCATATGTACAGAAAAAAATATTAACCTCAAGTCTTCATGCAAATCGTATCACTATATTTATAGAAACTCCTCCAAGGGTTTGGGTATCCTGATTTTCTAAATTTATCCAGCTAAGATTTTCAACACCCAAAATTGCACTCCCCCAAGCTTGTTTTTGAAAAGGTGGTTATTTACATTGAACTACTTTATATTTTATACCACTTTAGGCGCTACCTATCTCCCAATCTCTTTGTCGTAATTACAAGATAAAAATCCACTTGAGAAAGAATCATAGAATCATAGAATCATAGTACTGGAAGGGACCTCAAGAGGTCATCGAGTCCAGCCCCCCGCCCTCAAGGCAGGACCAAGCTCCACCTACACCATCCCTGACAGATGTCTATCTAACCTGTTCTTAAATATCTCCAGAGAGGGAGATTCCACCACCTCCCTTGGCAATTTATTCCAATATTTGACCACCCTGACAGTTAGGAATGTTTTCCTAATGTCCAATCTAAACCTCCCCTGCTGCACTTTAAGCCCATTACTCCATGTCCTGTCCTCAGAAACCAAGAGGAACAAATTTTCGCCTTCCTCCTTGTGACACCCTTTTAGATATTTGAAAACCACTATCATGTCCCCCCTTAATCTTCTTTTTTCCAAACTAAACAAGCCCAGTTCATGAAGCCTGGCTTCATAGGTCATGCTCTCTAGACCTTTAATCATTCTTGTCGCTCTTCTCTGTACCCTTTCCAATTTCTCCACATCTTTCTTGAAATGTGGCGCCCAGAACTGGACACAGTACTCCAGCTGAGGCCTAACTAGTGCAGAATAGAGCGGCAGAATGACTTCACGAGTTTTGCTTACAACACACCTGTTAATACAACCTAGAATCATATTTGCTTTTTTTGCAACAGCATCACACTGTTGACTCATATTCAACTTGTGGTCCACTATGACCCCTAGATCCCTTTCCGCCATGCTCCTTCCTAGACAGTCGCTTCCCATCTTGTATGTATGGAACTGATTGTTCCTTCCTAAGTGGAGCACTTTGCATTTCTCCTTATTAAACCTCATCCTGTTTACCTCTGACCATTTCTCTAACTTGCTAAGGTCATTTTGAATTATGTCCCTATCCTCCAAAGAAGTCGCAACCCCACCCAGTTTGGTATCATCTGCAAACTTAATAAGAGTACTCTCTATCCCAATATCTACATCATTGATGAAGATATTGAACAGTACGGGTCCCAAAACAGACCCTTGAGGAACTCCACTTGTTATCCCTTTCCAGCAGGATTTAGAACCGTTAACAACAACTCTCTGACTACGGTTATCCAGCCAATTATGCACCCACCTTATCGTGGCCCTATCTAAGTTATATTTGCCTAGTTTATCAATAAGAATATCATGCGAGACCGTATCAAATGCCTTACTAAAGTCTAGGTATATGACATCCACCGCTTCTCCCTTATCCACAAGGCTCGTTATCCTATCAAAGAAAGCTATCAGATTAGTTTGGCATGACTTGTTCTTCACAAACCCATGCTGGCTATTCCCTATCACTTTATTACCTTCCAAGTGTTTGCATATGATTTCCTTAATTACCTGCTCCATTATCTTCCCTGGGACAGACGTTAAACTGACCGGTCTATAATTTCCTGGGTTGTTCTTATTCCCCTTTTTATAGATGGGCACAATATTTGCCCTTTTCCAGTCTTCTGGAATCTCCCCTGTCTGCCATGATTTTTCAAAGATCATAGCTAAAGGCTCAGATACCTCCTCTATCAGCTCCTTGAGTATCCTGGGATGCATTTCATCAGGACCTGGTGACTTGCTGACATCTAACTTTCCTAAGTGATTTTTAACTTGTTCTTTGTGTATCCTATCTTCTAAACTTACCCTCTCTCTGCTTGTATTCACTACGTTAGGCACACCTCCAGACTTCTCGGTGAAGACCGAAACAAAGAAGTCATTGAGCATCTCCGCCATTTCCAAGTTCCCTGTTACTGCTTCTCCCTCCTCACTAAGCAGTGGGCCTACCCTGTCCTTGGTCTTCCTCTTGCTTTTAATGTATTTATAAAAGGTCTTCTTGTTTCCCTTTATGCCTGTAGCTAGTTTGATCTCATTTTGTGCCTTTGCCTTTCTAATCTTGCCCCTGCATTCCCGTGTTGCTTGCCTATATTCATCCTTTGTTAGTTGTCCTAGTTTCCATTTTTTATATGACTCCTTTTTTATTTTGAGATCATGCAAGATCTCCTTGTTAAGCCAAGCTGGTCTTTTGCCATATTTTCTATCTTTCCTACACAGCGGAATTGTTTGCTTTTGGGCCCTTAACAACGTCCCTTTGAAATACTTCCAACTCTCCTCAGTTGTTTTTCCCTTCAGTCTTGCTTCCCATGGGACCTTACCTACAAGTTCTCTGAGCTTATCAAAATCTGCCTTCCTGAAATCCATAACCTCAATTGTGCTGGTCTCCCTTCTACCTTTCCTTAAGATCATGAACTCTATTATTTCATGATCACTGTCCCCTATACTGTCTTCCACTTTCAAGTTCTCAACTAGTTCCTCCCTATTTGTTAAAACCAAATCCAGAACAGCTTCTCCTCTGGTAGCTTTTTCAACCTTCTGAAACAGAAAGTTGTCTCCAATGCAGTCCAGAAACTTATTGGATAGCCTGTGCCTCGCTGTGTTAGTTTCCCAACATATGTCTGGATAGTTGAAGTCCCCCATCACCACCAAATCTTGGGCTTTGGATAGTTTTGTTAATTGTTTAAAAAAGGCCTCATCCACCTCTTCCACCTGGCTAGGTGGCCTGTAGTAGACTCCTAGCATGATATCACCCTCGTTTTTTACCCCTTTTAGCTTAACCCAGAGACTCTCTACACAGCTATCTCCTACGTTCATCTCCACTTCAGTCCAAGTGTGTACATTTTTAATATACAAGGCAACCCCTCCTCCCTTTTTTCCCTGTCTGTCCTTCCTGACAGAATGTGCTCAGCATGTTTGTCTTAGACCTGCCCACTCTTCCCTGTTGAAGAAACAAAAACATGAACAGGGAAGAACTGTTCATTCTTCTTTTAAAAGACTAGGGGGGCAGTGTCCCCTGCTCTCTCTGCTTCCAAACTCAGCCCCTGTTGTGCCCTGACCCTCCTTTCTCGTTGCCATTATAGGCCGTAGTCCCCCCCATTTCCAACCCAAAGAAATACATGTGCCTCTCAACTTTTGTTTTTCAAGGGTAGATAATATTTAATTCCCGGCCTCTGATTTTCCAAATGCTATTTATTAGCAGCAGGTTTGGAGAATTAAACCATCTGCTCTTTGAAAAATGAGTATCGTTGAAAATAAATAGTTTAGCCTTGGCAGTAAATTCATCCTGACTGCAACTTGTCTTAGTATTGCTGCTACTATTAATAAGATTATAGCAAGAATATTACATTTGTCAAGAGCCATAATAATTGCTTTCAAAAATGAAGTATGATTCTGATCAAAATGGGTAGTCAATTGTGGAGCAATTTCTGTGCTCAGGTTTCCACATTTTAAATAAGAGATGTTATTCTAATGGAACTTATGCAAGTAAAGGGACAGCCATAGATTTTTCATTAGATTAATTACTGCTATGAGAAGGTAAATACTAACAGACGGATCACCCAACACTGGCCTGTGTTTTCAGCCTGTCATTTGTGAGACTAAAATGTATGACAATTCAGGTCATTTAGGGCACATCTACACAGCAGGGCTAAACTCAAAATAAGCTTTGCAACTTGAGCTATGCTAATTGCGTAGCTTAAGTCGAAATAGCTTATTTCAACTTTTGGCACTGTCTACACAGCAGTTATTTCAATATAGAGCATGCTTCCCCGACTTCCCTTGCTCCTCGTACAATGAGGGTTACATGAGTCAGAGTAAGAAGCCCGTTATTTTGAATTTATTTTGAAATAACAGGCTTGCTGTGTAGACTTGCACTGTGTTGTTTCAGAATAATTGATGCTATTCAGAAATAACACCAGCTAATGCGGGAGCATGTGACCTCCATATATGACTCCACCCCACTCCCAACCTGGGACTTCCACATTCTTCCTCTTCCCTCCCCTCCAATCCCAGATTACCTGAAGTGATAGCAGGAGGGGCAGTACAGCATCCGGAGGGAAAAGGAGCAAAAGGAGCAGCACCATAAGCCCCTGCATGAAGCTGCTTCAGCTGTGTACAAGTCTAGAAGCAGACTTCTATGCCTTTTCCTGCCGGGGGGGAAGGGGTGGGCAGTGAGAAGGAAGCAGAACTTCTAGCCCTGCCCCCTCCACCCCGGCTTGTTGTACATAGATGAAGAATCTCCTAGAAGGGCAGGGGGCATACAGCCATGACAAAGATCCTGAGAGGAGATGTGAGGGACAAGCTGGCTCGTTTTATTCCTGTGCGCTGTACTGGCTAAAAATAGCTTGGTGGCACAGAGTACCAGATCGTACCTGTAGCCTATCAAGTTACTTGCCTACCATGCTAATAATATGGTGGTGTTAATTTAAATTAACTAGATAATAGCTAAGAGCTGTAATGCAAGAAATCTGCTAAAGGCTGGTCTGCAGCACTATGTGCCCTGCCTGCCCAGTGCCTCAGACTGGAGCAACTGGGGGGGTGGCATTTCTACCTGGCCAGAGGGCTACACTCGGGGGAGTGGGAGGCAGGTGTTGTAAAGTTGCTCTCAGCATTCCCACAGGCCCTTGTGTTAGCTTGACTGATGTCTGGGTTCAGGTCTAAGACACCAGGCCTTATGTCTGCCAATTGCAGTTTGTGAAGGACCCCTAATACTAGCACAGCAGCACTCAACTCCTTGTGGGGATGGGCTTTGCCACTGACCCACCTGAGTCGAGGTCTGTGCCCTTTCTTAGCTGGGGCCAGGGCATGTTTGTAAATAAGCATGAGTCCCAAATTAGTGATCCTGTTACTTGTACCTAGCTGTGTGTGCATATGCTACTTGCCTTCCCCCACACAATCAACCACAAGCCTG